CACACAGTTATCTGTAAGCTGCCTGCGAGCATTTCTGCAATCATTATACCTGCTGCCTAGGAGTTGTCTGTATACACTGGAGGCAAGCAGAACTGGAAATGTGCCATGCCTCTCTGGCTTCTCCATATGCTGGTATTGACATAGCCAAACAGTACAGTAGCGTAGTCCTGAAAAAACTCAAAAGCTCTACTAGAGGAAAGTATTCTAGTTGGGTGCTGACTGTCTGAGATTTGGTGTAAATGATAAGGGATTTTTAAAAGTAAAAATAGATGGATAAAATAACCTGAAATGAAAGCAAATTCACTTTAAATACAAACTAATCTGAAGGCAGAAGAGATAAAGAGGAGCATGTGTAAATACCAGTAAGAGTGATGGCTATATTGAGATATAAGAACTACTTCCTCTGATCTCTTAAGAGCAGTGAGCAATAACGATGTTTGGCTGTCATAAGTGAACTCTGTACTTTATAATGCACATATTGTGCAAATGTGTCCACATACTGCTATAGGGGGAGTGTAACAACCTTCTTGCACAGGCTCTAAAGCTATTCTGCTTTAGAGATGGCACGGCCTACACCCAGGCATGCAAGATGTATCTTGCCTTTCTCCAGCTCGGCTCCTACTTGTGTGCTAGCAGAAAACAAAGGGATACCATATTCTGTATAGTGATTTTAAGGCATGTAATTAATGTACTTCTGTTTACTAGATAAACAAGCGCTCCCATAAGAGTGAACTGTGTTCCTTTGAGTGGAGTAACAAATAAACAAAATAGACTGACTGTTTAATCAAGTTATTGCCCTAACGATACCCTCTCAGGCACAAACACTGGTGGGTTTGAGAGCCAGCTTCAACGTCGTTGACTTTCGATTATGTTACAAAGGCCATTTATTTACTCAGATTTCTCCCCTGAGAAGAGCTGAATGAGCAGACTTATACCCTCTGATCACAGAGGAAGGTTTATGGCATTCTTGTTACTTTGATTGCAGTTATTATTCCATAGCTTTTGTTTTTTTAGTTTACTTATAAAAATATTATTTTTAAAAATGAACTCCAGCTCACTAACCAAACAGATTTTTTTAAGTTATGCCTATTTTTATTCTGGGTTTAGGGATTTAGACTGTAAGTAAAATTCCAATAAAAAAGTAGGTATTAATTCAACAAGTTGTCTGATTTCAGCTCAGTATGGTGTACTGGGAATTCAATGAGCCAACATGAATATCTGGCCAGTCATATTCAAAAAGAGACACAGAATGCTCATTGGAGGAAAAAAAAAAAAGATACATTGTTTTGAAAAAATAATTTTTATCATGTAATTGCTATCATAATATGTTAAACAAAATAGCTTTATTTACAAGGATTGCTTATCCCTTACATTATTTTTAAATAACGCTAATCAGAAGGTAAGCAGTCCTCAGTGATTATCTATTGATAACAGTGCCTCAGCAGAAATGTGAGCCCAAAGAAATTAATACTTCACTCTATCAGAATAAACACCACAAGAACTGAATAAGTCTTCCTTTAGTACTTTTTGGCCTGTGCAGGTCTAAAGATTGAAGCTAGTGTTTTAAGGCATAAGACAAGAAACTAGAAGGCAAGCTTGTAAAAAGGTGTTGATATGACTAATGAATGAAGGGGCAGCTTAATAACACAGACACCAAGATCAGCCTTCATGGAATATACTGGTCCTTGCTCGGCACACCGCCTCTGTCCTGCAATAGGCTGTTGTTGTAATGTCTACATCTGGAGGAAAAGATACAAAATCTTTTCATGCCAAGCTTCTTATATCACTCACACTTTCATTATCTCTTCTCTTCTAATATAACTTTGGCTGCATTTGCTTTTTATTGCTACAGTAAATGGCTCATGATTCTTAATTAATGATAGTACAATGATCCTTCTCCTGTTCATGAAAAAAATAGCTACTCTTTCAGATAAGAGCAATATTAAGAACAACAGTGTTATCCCCAAAGTTTCTTCTCCTTAGTCACTGCCATTTTCCTCTCATTTGGACACTGTGTTACATCTATTTTTTCTTTACTAAATGTTAAAGCAGCTGGTCTTAGTGTGACTCTTGCCATATCTAGAGTGGGCAACTGCTGAATGTATGGAGAAATCACGGCACAGCACATCAGTAAGACCTAAAGCTAGAACTTTACTAGCTCCTTGTCACATTTTCACCATTTCACAGAATGTTCTGGAAAGTAGTAGCAAGCTGCCTATTTACCATTCTGTAAGTTTTACTCCATCAGAATTGGGACCACACTTGCTTTTAGCAGGGCAAAGCAAGGAAAATGTGTATCTTTTTTTAAAAAAAAATATATATATATATATAATGTGATAATGTATTAACGAACACATTCAATACTGAGATAAATCATCAGAGAATCCTGAAGTATTCTTCACCGGTGCATCTGAAGGGGGATATGAATATATATCGTCCTTAAATCCAAACTGAGGATGGCTCAGAGTGGAGTCCCATAATTTGACCTCATCAACAATTTTGTCACATAATCTGTTGCAAATAAAAGAATCCAAACATCTGCTTGTCACTGATTATGTAAAACGAATAAGGAAAAAAAAAAAGTCAGAGACTTCCCATAGCTTTTGAAAGTGGCATGTTTTTCTGCGACTTCCTATACAGAATAATGCTCCGTATTGGAAGGTCGGCCTTTGGCATAAGGCTTTTAGTTATGGTCTCTTCTGCTGATCTCTAATAGCTGTCAAGCAGAGAATAAGTTGGGAATTTGTTCTGCACATTTGCTGAAAGATTATGGGTGAAATCCAGTGGTTCTTCCCGCATTCCCTTTTTTACTAAAACAAGTATCATTGCATAAGCTGCTAATGAGGTCATATCATAGTTGCTCTGTTATTTTCAGACATTACAGGAACCACAGCTCATTCTGTCCTTTTTGTAATGCATTTTGTGCTGGTTTAGCTGTGAAGGCACTATGTCTGACCAAATTTCATGCTGGCATGGGAGAGTTATAATAACAAACATTGTATGAATGTAAGAAAACATGGTACATTGCTCTTTTTTGTACAGTACCTGTTATTTCATTCAAAGAGACCTCATGTCTGGAAGACATGTAGTTCAGCATCACTGTTTTTCTTAGATTTTTTATATTCAACTTTATCTTAGTACTTGCACGTGGTCCTATTCTATCAGTAAGTCCTATATGAAAGAGCTGACTCTAAACATAATGTGAAAATGTTCACATGAGATGACACCAGTGTGTGTATGGCCAAGTGCTAAAAGAAGTGGGTAATTATCATTACTTATAATGGATTCCATTTCACAGGATGAGAGTAGGTAAAAATATTTTATCCATATGTTTGTTTTTATTTTCCAGAGGGGGGATTGCTAGCCAACAAACCTACTGGCAACAACTTGGCACAAAATTCAAGGGGCTATTCCAGCTACATCTGATCAATCCTTACCACGAAGAATGGATATAAAATAGACTTCGGGGGATTGCGGGTGTCTTTATCTTCTTTCATTCCTGCTAGATTACATATACTGTCTTTCACACTGGCTAGTTTTCAAGTATGGAAAGACGAGACATTTTATTGGAACTGTTTGTGTTATATAAGCAGAAAAGAAATATTTAGGAAGGAAAATAAGCAAATACTGTATTTTCTTAGATTAGCTTTACTTGTGAATTTAGTGTATGCAAGAAAAGATTTGTTCACTCACATTTAAAAAACATTGCTTTGAAGACAAAAAAATTGAAGATACATATATGTGTCTGATGTTCCCAGGATAGTATGTCCAATTGCAGCCATCTATGTCCAGGGATTCACTCGATCTAGACAAAACAAAGGTCAAAACCTATCAGACCCATTAATGAGTCAAATTTGTTGTTCTCATTCTTGTTTTATGATGACAGTTCAGAAGTTGTGTTCTTCACAGTTTTTTACTTGGGATCACAAATACACGGTGCAAGTTGGTACCACCATCACGTCTGCTAGGAATTAGGCATGCTTGCAAGCATTGTTCCCATCCTTGAATAATGAAAAATTTCAGTCTCTAGGGCACTTAATTTGACACTTTTGATGTGATTCATGTTGGCTTTTAAAAGAAAAAGTAACAGTAATTGGAAGTTTTAGGCAATAAAAATAACTACAGTTCAAGCAAGAACTTTAGAGAACTTGAGAAATATGTCTCTGACCATTTAGGTTTCGGCTTTAAACCATCCAGGTACTTCGTAAATTGTTAGTTTTTATTCACCACAGTAATTTCAAATGAGTCTATTTCCTCTGTTAAAACTACAGTAAAATGTCTTGGCACAAAAATAAAAGACATCAACACACAAAAAAATGTGTGAGTAGCTATTTGTATTAATGAAAAATTTCTTATATATAAAAAGCTTACACTGCAGTTACTGTCATTTTCTGTTATACTGTCCAGTAGAGCTATTTATAATAGGGATGCTTCAGACTTTCATTGCAGTTTAAATTATTGTGCTTTTCAGTTACTCTGAAGAAATGAGATCTTTGTATCCTCCAATGTCACTCATCACTAACCTTGAATACTTACACATTTCCTAGAGTGTTTAGCATTGTATCAAGACTAATGCCCCTCTTAAAGAGACAGGAATATTTAAAATGAGATAAGCATAACAGAAATATCTGAACTGTGGCAAATCCACCAGCAGCTGGACTATGATTTGGTGAAGACCACATGTTGTTGTCCCTAACTGTACCTTTTTTGTCACAAGTCATTACTTTCCATCCTCCCAGTATTTCCTTTCTTATCAGTGCTTGATACTTATCATCCAAATGAAGTTCTATAACAAGTGGTACTTTTTATTCCTCTACAAAGCAGCAGTTAAAAAATATTTAAATTCCTTGTATTGCCTTCACAATCCAACTTAAATATGACTGATAGTTGTATGGGAACTGGTGAGTCACAGCCTGAACCACTGATTGATCACCTGAGGAAAGGACTGAGTCAGCCACGGGAGCACAGGTGAAGGTGATTCACCTCTGTGACTGGAAGACCCCATTTCAGGGCTGAGTGGTGGTGAGGAAGAATCTTTTTCTGGAGATCCCTCCTCTGTGGAGTCTTTCCTGTGAACGTGGATCTTTAGAAACAGGTGAGCATTCCTTCCTTGTTTGTTTCTTTTCCCATTTTCACCACGATAATCTTTCCTGCTGTAACACCAACTGTAACAATAGTACACAAGCACACTGTAATTAGCTTGTCATTTTTAACAACTTGAGGCTCTAAGAAAAGCATAAAACTCATTTGTACTTGAGCCCCTGTATGTTGAACAACTGCCTTCAATCTGCTAAGGAGGCACTCATCTGCAGCCTGAAGCACAGGCCTTCATGGTTCTATATATTTTTATTTATTCAGCTGTATGTTGGTTAGCAAATCCTGACTGGCTTTTCCTCAGCCTTCACATCTTTCAGGAAACTTTGAGATAGTATCTGTAGTTCCTAAAGGAATAAATATTTTTGGTATTTTATATCTGTCATAGTTGTTTCTAGATCGATCTGTATCTGTAGCAGGATGACATAGGCTCACTTGCCCGTGGGAAAGGGAACAAAAAGGGGGGAAAAAAAACTTACAAAACAACAGCAGTGATTTGCAGAGGAAAACTAATTTACTAATTAGTATGGCAGAAGTAATAGTTGGGATTGAAGTGAATAAATAATAAATTAGAGTTTCTGGAAACCAAGGTTCTTGCTCTGATCAGCCAGCGAGGAAAGAGATGCAGTCTCATGACTTTCAGTCAATTTTATCTTTCCAACTACCTAGGAAATGGAAATGGAATAGCAAAGTTTTCTGGGAACTGTAGCACATTTTTTTCTCTTCTGAGGTTCACAGTGCACTATGTGATATGATGATGTAGAATACAGATAACAAAAATCATAAAACCAGGACACCAGCCTTTGCATTAATTAGGTGCATTTCAGGTTGCTTTTAGAGGTGGCTCTTGATAAGTGCAACTTTCTTTTGTGTGTGTGTGCTTTTTTTGTTGGGCTTGTTTTGTTTGTTTACTTATCACTTAGAAACCTTTAGTGCTTTAACCTTGGATTCATATCTTCAGATGGTATTTTAAGTTTTCCTTTCTTCCCAATGACAACTAATGAATGAAGTCGGGAAAATTTTAAAAAGTGTGGGGCGAAATGCTTATTCGTTTCTATACAGACATTAGGTAATCTAATTAGCATTTCCCCCTAAGGGAAAGAAGTCCTTTCATAACCATTCAAACACCATTCTGTGGCCATTTAGCAACTTTAGATTTAAGCAGGTATGTCTTTTATGAAATAATGCAGAAGGTCTTTCAGAGGACATAAAGTGTGCTTTTATAAAAACTTACTATTTATATTTTGCAAATTAAGCATGTTTACTACAGTGTTGCATGAAAGGAGAAAAGAATAAATCTTTGTGAAAATAACTTATTCTCTGAACAGTAAAATATTGAACTTTTTGTGCTTTTTATATATCAACCAGAAAGTCTCATGCAGAGGGTAGATAGCTGCTGATACTCTCTCACTGCTGTCACTGATATCAATCACAATGGAGATGTAAAAACTGATGAGAAACAGGAAATAATATAGCTTCATAAATATCTGAGATTTCCTTACATGACTACAAGAAAAACTGTCTAAATCTCGCTTTCATTGATTTTATTTAGTGTTGTAGCTAGTGATCAGCTGAAAGAAACTTGGGTAAATATTACTGCTAGACAAATACATATTTTCTGTTCCACTTGAAAATATTTTTTTCTATCTTTTATATGCTTTACTAAAAATTTTCTAGGGTTCTGGCACTAGTTTTCAGATAGTGAAATCAAATCAGTGTTAATTAAAAAGTTCATAATGTTATTGTGTGAAGAGTCTCAGAATACAGATAATCAATAAAAAAGGAAGCTTGCATTTCATGTGACATTGTGAAGTTTCTTATAGATAATTTCATGGAGTGATTTCATTCATGTGTGATTAGCTTTTGCTTGTGTGATACTATGCAATATAGTTGTATGGGGACTCTGTGTGTACATGGTAGGGAATTACTGCTTTTTTTTTTTCTTTTTTTTTTTTTTTTTTTTTTTTTTGATTCCTCCATCTGTTATTTCTCACTTGAATAGAAAAACTTGGGATTAGTACTTTCTTTTTGTGGCAGTGCTTCCCAAGATAGTTATAATGTCTTCTTTAGATTTTAGCAAAAGTAAAAACCAACACTGAAGGCACCATCCCAGCTTATCAGCGAGACATTTAATTTGATTAATTTGTTAACTGGTCAAGTGGTAATTGGTTGACATTCTAAGCTTTCAAGAAAAGTTGGTTGCTGCAGTTGAGTGGATGAGTGAGTGAAATTTTTTGCTTTCACATTAAATACAGATCAAACGGTGTTTAGTACAATGCTAGTACTTTAGATTGATACATGCCAGAAATAGACTTTCAGAGCTGTGGTTGGAACCCAGAAGCAGTCAGCTAAGAGCAGAGGAGTTTCTTGTGAGCAAAGACTTTGAAGAAGACAGCACATTTAAAAGACAGAAGACTTAGAGGTATGAAATGACAGCAGGCCGGAACAGCTGTCAGGAAAACAGTTCCTGTATCACAGCACTCTGCATCCCTTTCCCAAATAATGGATTACTTTGAGATGACAAGGGATCCCAAAGTATCTTTGGGATGATGGGTTTCCAGGGGGAAAAAAATAAAATAAAATAGGAAAGTAGAGGGGGTGGGGGGGGAGGAGGGAAAGAAAGAGAAAGGTAGTAGAAAAGCAGAATTCTTCTCTGAATTACAAAACTTAATCCAGTTTCCTTGGATGTATAACACAAGCAAGGCTGTATAGTGGTCCCCTTGTTTCTGAGGCAGCTGATACCAAATGCTGTCTGTAATAAAGGACCTTGTGGCAAATACATAGCTACTCAATAATATAGCTTTAAGAATTTACTTCTTTCCAGTAGACATAAGACTACAATTTAACATCTGTTTTCAAGCTGAACTTTTATTTACTAATGGGTAGGCTTGGGTTGGGTTGTTTTGTTGGTTTGGTTTTTTTTTCAGTTGTTTGTTTGTTTTCCTGCTCTTTTGTATTTAAATCAGGAAGTCTTTCATCCATATTTCTCTTTTGAATTTTCCCAAGCTTTTCATTGCACTGGTACCTTGTAGTGAGAAGTTCCAGTGTTTGACAACTTGATTTGTAGAGATGATTTTTTTTTTTTTTTTAATTGGCTTGGAGTTTAATTTGCTTTCAAAGGATGACATCATCTTCAGTGGGAATGGGAGCTCTTTTGGATCTATCTGCCTCCAGTTAGCTCATTATTTTGAATCACTAACTGAATCTCTTCTATTTCCCTCCTTGCTAAATAAAGGTGTCCCAGGCTTTTTCAGTCTTTATATGGAAATTTTTCTGTACCTCTGCATTTCTTAGGCATTTCTATTAATACAGATTTAAGGACCCATGTATTTAATCTAGAAAAAAAAAAAATGTGCCTGAATTCTTGATAATAAAATCAAGCAAAAAGAATCCCAGCTTGTTCAGATATTTACTTACAAATCTGATATCTAATTCTGTTGATTGTTCAGATGTTATTTCCTACATTGCCTTTTCTTTTCTGTATCTGACAGATTTCACCCTGGGTTCAAATCTCCATTTCCATGCACAGCCCACACTTGGGCAGATGTTATCAGGATAAACCCAATGTTGGGGAATTAATTTTCTCCTACATACACTATCAGTGTATGATAGGAACATAAGTGTTTCATTGCTTTCCACACTGAAGAATACCTGTAAAGTCCAGTCCATACTGCGATTGTTTTTTCTCCCCCCACCTCTACAAGCACAGTGCTCAGCAGGGGAAATTGTCAGTAAATAACTGTTGAGCACGGCTGAGCATGGCATTTCCCTACAAGAGCTATGTGGTCTGTTGTCTCTGTGAGCTTTTCATATACTAATTAGATTTCTGTTTCGCTTTGGTGGTGATGGTAGCATTCCTCATGAACACATTACAGTATTTTTTAATCAACATTACACAGATCAAAATCATCTTTTATCACAATTGAAATTACAGTGTTTTGAGTTTTCTTTTTCTTCTGTTAGTTTGTTTTCCTGAAGGGCAAGAGGAGATTGTCCTTTGGCAATCAAAAAGAAAGATTTATTGCTATTTCCTCTTTCTTGCCATGTCACCATAATCTTTGTATTTTACCCATTGATTTCCATGCCAGTTCTTTAAGCTCTGATGCATTATCATTTCTTTTCGCTGATATCACTGACACCACATTTTGTTTTCACTGGAATCTTTGAGAATTACTGAGTACAAAGAGGCTACATTTTCTTGGGAATTCCCTGAACTGGAACTGATTAGAAGCTAGAAGAATATGAGATTTATGGCCGTCCATTTACGGCTATATCTGGGTCAGAAATGAGTTGGGTCTCACTAGATTAATCTGAGTCTAGCCTTAGTCTAAACTGGATTGAAAATAGCTGTTCTTAATTTTGTATTGTGTTATCCTCCATTTTACAGTAAATTGTTTAGGGTAAAAATGCAAAATGCTTATATGAACTGGATGACAAGGGGGGTGGCTGTATGTGTGTAATCTGAAGAATGGGAAATTCCAGCACTCTGAACACCACCTTCTACCAAAGTACAGCTCTGGGAGGTGTACTGGCCTCCCTCAGCTGATTGGGAACTCAGTTTGTTCAGAGTATAGTCCTCCAGCATGTGCCCAGGGCCATGGCCCAGACCTCCCATAGCCAGTTCAGGCTCAAATTTTCTACCTCACAATTCCATTCGGCCGCTGTCAAACTGATTTGTGGTTAGTGTCTTCAGAGATATCTGAGGGATTTCTTTACCACGCATATACTCTGATAAAAAATAACAGGTTCTTGCAAATCTTTGCAAAGAAGTAAGGTGCCCAAGTCTGACTTCACTTCTGTGTGATTATCACCAGTGTACCAATACATCATGTAGGATTTTTTCCCACACTTGTGTTTGGAAATGAAAAGGATCTTTAGCGCTCCTTTTTTGCAACTCCCCTCATGACTTTTATATCATATTGTCAGTTTGGGGTGCTTTGCAGCTATTCCATTTGTCAATTGGAACAGGTTAGTGATAGGAAAATGATTCAAGACCACTGTCTAATATCCTGGAGATGGTAGCTGGCTGGAATGCACAAGAAACTGAGTCACAGAAGTCAGATGCAGAATCATAGAATAACCCCAGTTGGAAGGGACCCACAAGGATCATCGAATCCAACTCCTGGTTCCACTCAGGAAGCAATCCAAAATGGAAGTCCTAAACCACAATGGAGTTTACAGGACATCACAATTTGGAGGTTACAATTTAATATATATATGGCCCACAATGCTGCAATGCACAATGTTCTTTCATAGTTCCTTGAGGACCAAGTCCAAGTTTTTTCTAAAACACTAAACAGATTTTCCTTTGACCTAGTGCCTGATGGATCCAGTCAGCAATGTTAACTGAATGCCACCTAAATAATCTCAGCACAGCAAGTTTATAAAAATGACAGTGCCAGAAATTCTCTTCAATATGAGTGACAGAGACAATGTTCTTGCAGCACAGAAGAAGTGGACATGTTTCACTGCTCAGGCAAGATTGTATTTATTCCCTAATGTCTGCCAAATCATTCAAAACAAAAGAAGGCAGCTGGCAGGACTTCAAAAGGAATTCTGTGGATGAAGTAAGTCAAGCTGCACTGCTTTACCTGGCTAAGCTCTTGGAGACCAACAAAGATGAAACACGAAGCTTCTGGGTCAGCCAGGAACCTCTTTGCAATACTACAGATAGAAATTAACCTGCTCACTGCGATGTAACAAGCTATTCAAAGATGAAGTTGAAACTATATTGTTCTTTAATTTTGGATGCACATTCTCTGAGAGATAAATAAAAAGTGTGCTTTAGGTCTGAGAAGGAATATCTTTAGACAGAGCAAAAGAGCATGTACTCTTTATGGACTCTTGCTTGTTATAAAAATCTGGTAATTGGTCTCTTGTATGTTTATTCAGACTGCGGTTATTCCTAAGTTTTGAAATGTCTAGCTTAAAATAAAAAAAAAAAAGCAAAGTTTCTACATAATTAAGAGCAGAACAGGTCATGTTTTTATTTTCAATGAAAAATTTGAAATTTGGTTTAATTCTGAATTGGGTAACCTGGAATATTTTGAGACAAAAGTTGGATAGTCACTAATGGACTAAATATGCTCTTGGTGAACTGTGATGGTGAAAATAACGATGGTTCTGGTGGTGTTTAGAACCTATAGCAAATGAAGAGGAGAAAATACATTCAGACTTAAAAAGAAAAAAAAAAAAAAGAGATTAACTCAAAAGGCTTATGTAAATGTATTAATGTGGCCTATTGTTTGTTGCAATTACTCAGAACAAGCAAGAATTTATGGAAAAAGCATGAAGAGGATACTACTGCAGCTTCAGTGATGGCTTAGGACAAGGCATGGGGCAATTACTGACTGATGGAACAAGTTCAGATCCCAGAGCATAGAATCATAGAATCACAGTGATTGAAAAAGACCTCCAAGATCCTCCAGTCCAACCTCTGACCCTAATAAGGGCCACATCAAGTAGACTGGTAAAATCCTGAAGAAAAAACTAATATATTGAGAAAATGAATAGATAAAAACAAACGAATAGGAAAAAAAGTCAAAGAAAAATGTTTTGGAGCAGCAACCAATAGACAAGGTGATAGTTACTGTTGCTTTCTACGCACATGCACATGTGTCTATACAGCCATGCATGCATAATGCAAGTAAATATATACATGCATGCACTGTCATTTCAGCAGCGATGTTTTAGGCCAAATAATGAAAATTTTCCTGTTACACACTCTGGGCTTTTGGCCATATGTAGTTGGACTAGGCTAGACTACTACTAGATGATGTTTCTGTAGAAGAATGAAAAGGTAAGGCTATAAAATCAGTTAATGTTATTTATAAATTCTGTTGTGTCATATTGGTAATCTGCAAAATTGACACAGAAAAATATTACAGTGAAGTAACAGATCATAAATCCTATCATAAATCAGTGCTAATTTGCCTTGCACCAAGCTTATTTCAAACTTGTTTTCTTTCTAAGAAAGAGTTTTGTCTTTCATTATGTTATAGTTACCCACCACAAACCCACTTGGAAAGAAACACAGCATTCCCAACAGCCTTTTTTCCAATTAAATACTCTATAATTCTTGGTAAGAAGTTAGAAATAACTAAAACTGCCTCTCAACCAATGGACTGGGGAAGCTTTCACAGACTGCCCCTGTCACTTAGGAATGGAATGAGTGAACCATAGATCATAACATTCTGTCTCAAACTTGTTCCCAAAACACGTGTTCTGTCATATTCAGCAGGCTGCCCACAGCCTATAAGTAAATTCTTCAGATTTAGTAACATCTAGTAACATTTTTGACTAGTTCCTTTAGAGAGGGGAAAAAAAAAAAAAAAGGCATGCTGAAAAATAACTGAGCAGAGCTTTTTGTTTGATAACCTTGCACATAGACTCTTTTAGCACCACATAAATCCTTTAGTTGTATAGGATTATTTGGCAGCATGAGTGTGAGAAGATGGCCAGGCTGGTACTGAAAAATAAAGTATTAAGAGAGGCTTTGGAAGATTTATGGTAGGAAAGGCTGCGTGTCCTTCACTAGTGGGAGAGGATAAACTGTGTCAGGATGTTTAGCATCTTTCCCACTGGCAAGTCATTTTCATTCAGTCATTCCTTAGTTCGTTCTTGTTCACAGCCCTACAGTCTCTGATGGCATAATTGAAATCCTAGAAGAGCCAACTGCCAGTGACACCATCTTGGGGGTGTTTTATACTGCCTTAAATAGAGATTGAGCACAGGGACTCGGAGGTGGTTGAAATGAAAATGGAAAACTCTGTGGCACTTAGCGTATTTTTTCTTTCAGGCACATTTTTTTTCAGAGTTGGCCTCTGGGACAGGTGAGAGGATTTCAAAACCAGCATGGCTTTCTGCCAACGCAGAAAGTTATGATATTACATGGTATGACACAGGGAAGTATTCGGTGGAGCTCCCAGGACCGCAGTGCAGCAGGTGCAGGCGGGGATGCAGGTGGGACAGAGAGAAGACTGCACATCTGAGCCAAATGGGAACTGGAGACTTAGTGTTACTCATCATCAGCCTGTCAATGCCAGTGTGGAATAAGAAAAGTCAGAGGAGCTATTTTCACCCAACAGCATGAGGAGATGTCCTCTGGAGTGTTTTTGGAATGGGTTAAAATTCATGTGAAACTATTGCAATTATCTGATCAACTTCTAGAAAAATGTTCCAACAAAAAACATGCAAATCTTCAGAAGGGCAGATTAACACAGACCCAGGGCAACTCCTTGCTGTGCACACATGGCTGAACTTTTCCTACACTATAATTAGCATGTTTATGTTTATTGGAAAAAGTTGCATAAATATATCCAAAAACTTTCAGAAGATGTTTGTTCTTTAACTTCAGGAATAAAGCGGGGTTTGGAACTATTTTGATAAAGGCAGGAAAAATTAGAAAGTCTGAGCGTGGCTTGGGTCTTTTTAAATGGATGCCTCTGTGCATCCTAAACTCTTATGAGGAATTTCCACAATGAGGATGGTGGTATATGTTGGGCATATTCAAAACATCTCTAAATTTTCTATGTCTGTTCTCCCTAAAATTAATAGATCCACTGAAGTATGGTAACATCAGGATGATTCAGGTGGAAAAATCAAACTCCTTATTGTGTAAGAGTAGCACTGAAAGCAAAGGCAATGTCACGCATAAGTATTGTGCTAATGATTATGTGTGAGTTAAATATATGAATAAGTGTTTTTCAGAAAGGTTTAGCTTACTGAAGGACAACAGTCCCTCCAAAGACCAATAAATCTGGAAAAAGCTGTATCTCAGCTTCCCTCCCAAGGTATCAGAGGAAAGCAGTGCCTGTGAGAGCTGAGAAAAGAGAATATTTCTTTGTTTTACAGCCAGTGTTTGCCGAAGTATATCAGTCTCCAGTACGGGGAACATTTTCTGTCTTATTTTTGGACAGCGTTAATTTATTTTTCTGTTATAAATGTCCAACCTTCATGAAAAAAAGATAATGCTCAGTACACACAGTAACAACCCTACCAGTAAGCCTGATACAAGCAAATATTTTCATTGAGAGTGACTATTGTAACTTTGATCTCCACTGGAGACTCTAAAAACAATCTCCTCAGGTTTCAATTTTACTGGCAGTCTAGCACATCACTGCTGTAAACACTGGGACAAAGAAAAAAGTTTTTTTTTTACATTTCTGCATATAAAGAAGGATAAGAAGAAGGATATTAATTATAAATAATGAGTTGAAACTGCCTGCAGTGCAGCTGTGGTTCTTCTAATGAATACTGTCTTCTAATGGCTGAAACAAAATGTCAAGAGTGGTGGCGATTTGCAATTGGAAAAGCTACATAAGCTATTTATAAAAGCAAATCAACTGTAAAAACATATTTGCTAAATACTTCTGGCTTCTATAGCGCAGATGAATTGCTTAGTAAAACATCTATCCTCACCATGGTAAAACTTCCCAGAAATAATGTATGTGTGGTTTGGTTGATGGAGGTTGGATTTCCCTCTTAAGAAGCTGGAGAATGTACTTGTATTTTCTATAAAGATAAACCCAACAATGCCAACCACAGTGAGGGTTTTGACGAGATGTGCTCAGGAGTGGTAGGCTTTGTTCTTAACCAAGGATAGAGCGGTGTCAGGGGATGGTCGGGTGGGGGTTAGAGACAGGTTCTGCAGTGGAGGGCTTTGGGCATGGACCAGGCTCTCCGGGAGTCTGTTGGGCCACACACCTGAGCTGCTGGAGTTCAAGGAGCATTTGGACAGTGTTCTCAGATATAGGGTGGTGATGTTTATGTGGAGCCAGGAGCTGAACTCAGTGATTTTTATAGGTCCCTTTTAACTGAGGATATTCCATGGTTCTGTGATTCATAGAACCATAGAATGACCTGAGTTGAAAAGGACGTCAAAGATCATGTAGTTTCAACCCCCCCTGCTATGTGCAGGGTCACCAACCACCAGACCAGGCTGCCCAGAGCCACATCCAGCCTGGCCTTGAATGCCTCCAGGGATGGGGCATCCACAGCCTCCTTGGGCAACCTGTTCCAGTGCATCACCACCCTCAGTGTGAAACATTTCCTCCCAAAATCTAACCTAAACCTCCCCTGTCTCAGTTTAAAACCATTCCCCCTTGTCCTATCACTACCCATCTTCACAGCCATTGCTCCTCCTGTTCGTACGCACCCTTCAAGTACTGGAAGACCACAATGAGGTCTCTCCAGAGCCTTCTATTCTAAATTTCTAAAATTTCTATTCTATTCTAAACTCTGAAGTTACCCAATTTGACGAAAGCTACCGTAGTTCTGAAAAAACTGTCAGCTTCACCATGGTGCCTCAGAAATAAGAGTACTGCTGCAGTACGGCGTCAGATCGACGGGGCACGGTGCTACTGCTGGGTGGAAGCCGAGGTAGAGCGCAGCTCCGGAGGGCAGAGCTTCTCCACCTGCCGCCCTGTGAGATGCCGCAGGGCGCCGACGGGGTGCCCCTCCTCCGCTCTTCCTACTGGGCACCGCGGCGAGGGAGCAGAACTTTCCCAGGCCAGAACGCGGACGGCCGGGATCCGCGCCTCCGTCCACATGTGCCACGGCACCTCAGCGCCCTGTCCGGGTCGCACCCTGCCAGGATTGCAGCCGCCCCGCGTCCGGCCCGGCCCTGCCGACAGGTGAGTGCCCGCGCCGCATCTCGGCCCCGCACGGCTCTGTGTGCCGTGAGTCTGAGTAGCGGTCACCCTCCTCCTTCCCCCCCCCGCGGGGACAGCCCGCGCCGTGGAAGTTGCGCTGGGCCTCGTGCAGCTTTTTCTGTTTCTTAAAGAAATTCCCACGCAAAACACGCCAGCAAACAAAGCACTAAAAAAAGCAAGGATGTTGGCTTGTAGCTATTAATGGCCCAAACGAAAACGCACTTAAAATAACATGATGGGGACAAGCGAGGGGCTGGGAAGAGAGCGGGAGCACTGACAGAGCTGTGAGGAATTGGAG